GGGGGGGGGACGGCCACGCCATAATCCCTTTTCCATTCTCCTCTTGGGATCTTGGGCACACACGCACACACACCAGGTGAGTTTAAGCCACTGGGTTCGGGACTTGAACTGCAGTTAACTACATGGGAGTCCAGCGACACAACCATTATGCCAACTGCTGGTTCCCCAGTGTGAGTTTTAACCTCTGGGTCCAGGACTTGAACCGCAGTTGACTGCGCACGAAGTCCAGTGATGTAATCATTACCCCATCTGCTGGTCCCTCATTTTTTTGTTTCTGTTTCTTTTTTTTTTTTTTTTGAAACCAATCTTTTGGGCAGTTTAGGTCCCCAGCACAATTATGTGTAAGTTACAGAGGGTCCTGTGCTTGCCTGTACTAACTCTTGCCTCGAAGTGCCCCCCCATGACGACCAGGCCCCAGCCGCGTGGTCTGTCCGTCATGGTGACCTGCTCTGATGTCACCATAGTCCTTGCATGCCAGTTTTCATTAGGGCTCATTTCTGTACTGTGCAGTCCTGGGTGTGGACGGATGGGTAATGACACGGGTACAGCTGACAGGGCCTGCAGACAGGGTCCATTGCCTGGATAGCCTGGGCCCGCCTATCCGGCCTCCCCTCTCCGACCTTCCCCTGGCACCTCCTGGTCTGTACCGTTCCCAAGGCTTCGTTTTATTAGGATGTCCTGCACTTCACTCCCAGGCTACATAGGTTTTCACATCGGCTTCTCTTGCTTAGCAGTGCGAGCGTCAGTGGCTTCCGTGGCTTCCAGTGGCCTCATAGCCCCTTTCCTTTATCTGAGTACGCCATCGTCTGGTTGGCTGTGCGTGTCCTCGTTCACCGGAAGGGCATCTTAGCTGCTTGCAGCTTCAGCAGTTGGGAATAATCACTCCACATCCATGTCCAGTTTTTGGGCATATACGCACCAGCATGACTGCTGATCTCGGGGTAAGGGGTGCTAGTCTGTGAGACACCCAGATTCTTCCCCAGGGCGGCAGCGCTCTGGTTCCCAGCTGCGGTGAGCGAAGCTCCAGCCGCCCATGTCCTCACCTGGAGGTGCCTGTGCCCCGGCCTGGCTGTGCTGCCAGGTGTGTGGTGGCGCCTCCCTGGCGTTCTGATGCGTGTTTCCCTGATGAGCCGTGACTCGGAGCATCTTCTCACGGACTCGTTGTCTGTGGATCTCCTTTGGGAGGTCTTGCACCATTTTGGATGAAGCTGCCATGCAGTTGTTAAATCTGTTCTCAAGGTCAGGCGACCAGCACCCTAATTCCACTAGCCATTCACTGTCCCTCCCGTCCCCAGTTTCTGTGTGGGCGCACATTCTCCGCTGTCTTGGTTACGTCCCTGGAGTGGCTCTGCTGGGTCCTGTGGCCACTTGTCTGGCCCTGGCAGGAGCTGCACCCTTCCCCCCGCAGCAGTGGTGAGAGTCCGACCCCTCACTCTGGCGCTCACAGATTTTTCATCTGTCTGCTTTCAGCCATCCTGTGGATATTGAGTGGTATCTCATTGTGCTTCGAATTTTCATTCCCTATCTTAAGTTCTTTCTGACTTTTAAAATGATCTTGCTTCTTTCTCTCTTTTGCTCTTCCGGTAAGTATTCATTCTCAGGTTTCTTCTGATGTAGGCTTTGTTGCCAGCTGTGTGTGTTCTTCTCTGAGTTTCCTCACCTCATTTTCCAGTCTCTCTTCTCCTCCGCGGTGTTCTCCTGTCACTCCCGGAGCTGGTGTGAAATCAGGAGTGCTGGTCTTCCCTGCGGCCCTTCCCGGCATGCTTTGCTGTCTGGGACCTTAGCCCAGTCTGTACCGTCTGGTCTGTCACAGGGCTGTGTGTGATTCCCGTGGGGCGCTGTGCAGGTCATTGCCAACGTTGGGAAGGATAGCCGAGGTGCAGCGTGTTCTTCCCGTGTTTCCATCTCATGTTATAAAGATAGCCCCTCGGGGCCAGCTGCTGTCACAGTGGTACCACAATCAGACCCACGTGGGCTCACATTCTGGGTCCTCCCTGGGCCTGCTTACTGAGACTAGGGGTGGTGGGTGGTGGTAGGAAGGCCCTGTTGGGGGTGTCTCGCTCACTCTTCCTTCTCCTCTGCCTCCTACACTCTATCCCTCCCTCTTCCTTCTCCTCTGCCTCCTACACTCTATCCCTCCCTCCCTCAAGATTAGAAGAGAAGGAGAGAGAAAGAGAGAGAGAAGGAAAGAATGAATGAAAGAAAGAAAATTTAGAATATATATGTGTGTCACCAGCCAGTGCCATGGAGATTAAGGCACTGGATCCCACATGGCTGACTGTGTGGTTTGAGTCCCGGACCCAGTGGTTAGAGAATCATGCCAGGTATGTGTGTAAACATGCCCAGAATCCCAAGAGGAGACTGGAGGAGAGGGGATCGGGGATTGTGGTGTGGCCTTTCCTTCTGGGAGGTGACTTCTCACTTTCTCTCTGTCTCTCTCTGCCTCTCTGGTAGGCTTATGCACCATATATACCAAAATTTTTTTTTTTAGGAGAACTGTTTATTATGGCAGTGGGCATGGAGGAGTTAACACTCTGAATCTTCAGCCGACAAAATGAAATAATTCTTTTAATTTTTTTTTTTTAGAGAGCTTTTTGCTATAGGGCATGTGTGTTCGACAGACAGACAGAGAGAGACAGAGAGACAGAAAGTGAGAAATCACCCCCCAATCCCTTCTCCTCCATTCTCCTCTCGGGATCTTGGGCACACACGCACATGCTCCTGGCATGAGTTTTAAGCCACCC